TCGGGGCGTGTTTTTGCTAAAAAAAAAATCAAAGTTTTCCCCATATTTACCATATGCCTTGTGAAAGACTTGTATTTCTCTAAGGTATTGATCAACTGGAAGGCTTGATTAGTATCCGCTTTGCACATAATTAGAGAATCGTCGGCAAAAAGAAGATGAGACAGAACAGGTCCATTGATATTCGTAATATTTACATGTATTATGAGTGATATATTATGATATTTGGTCGTGTTTGTCGTTCGATTGTGCACCATTACGCTTTATTTATTAATTTAGGATAGATGTACTTTTTGTCATTAGTTTTGCAGGAAATATGCCCGAAAAAGCATTAAAAATGAAGTCGGGACAAAAAAACAACGAAAACCAGGTGCTGATGAAGACACACAACTCGTGTGTGAAAGTGACACGAGTAGTGTGAGTGATAAAAAAAGGGCGTTTCGTTACGACATTTTCACACGAGTCGTGTGGAGGTGACACGGGTCATGTGACCTCACATGGGTCGTGTGGCATTGTGACACGGGTCGTGTGGATTCACACTGGTCGTGTGAGCAGTCGGTTGAGTCTGGGAGTTTGGCGAAAATTATAGAAATGCCACACGGATCGTGTGAGTCAGTGACACGAGTCGTGTGACACGCAGACCACTACAAAAATAATCATTTTTAGTTTGGGATTTGATGCAATTTCTTCCTTTTTTCGAGTCATATTTGCCCTACAGTATAAAGGGGACTTGAAGAACTCGATTTGGAGACTTTTGACACCTTTGGAGGCCAAGAGAAAGCACGAAACACACGAGGAATTCGAGGAAGTCAAGATTGAAGATTGGGAAACTAACAACGACAATAGTTCTTCTTTCTTTTCTCTTTTTGTTCTTCATTGAACTCGTGAATTTATTTATGTTGAGTTTTGAGAATATGTTTAGTAGCTAAACCTTTTTGAGATTCTAGGATTTGTGAGTACTCGAGTTATTTTATGAAGTAATTTTATTTATTCATTCTAGTCTATCTTTCATTTATCAATGTCTTGTGCTTATATTTAAGGTGTGAATATAGGGCTCGTACTTTTGCATATTTGTGATTGACTTGAGACCGAGAGGAGATAATTGATCGCTAGAATATAATATAAAAATTCATAACATAAGAGACTAAACAGACCGAGATGTTGATAGAATCTTGCAAGGGAACAAAAATCCTAGGAACTTATGGGAGTTAGTTGTTCATTTTGAGACCAAGAGAAGATAGATAACAATTAATATCTACGATTTAACTTGTTCGAGAGAAAAGATTTAAATTAATTCAGTGATTATCTCTACGGTTAGTAGAATTAAATAAGATTTTAATGAATAAGAAATCTTTGTTGGAATAATCCCTAGGAAAACTTAATCTAAAATCTATTTTTTCATTCTTGATTTATTTTAGAAAAAGCCTTCATTAGTGTTAAATTTGTTTTGCAATCATTCATTAGTTTACATTAAAATCTCCATTCAAATTTGCACTAGTCTAAATAATATTTAATCGTCTACATTTTGGTAGTTAGTTATTTTAACAACAATCTCTGTAGAATACGACCTTGCTCGCTGCTTACTATAGCTACATAGTACACTTGCGGGTAGTGAAAATATTTTGCGAACATCTATCTCTTGAAATTTTTAGCCCCTTCTAACCCCTTGTCATACTTGATCAAAGTTGATAAGCATTCGACAACAATAATAAATATGTATGGCGATATGGGGTCGCCTTGCCTCAATTCCCTCATTCGGTTGACAATCTTGCCGATCTCGCCATTAACGTTGAAAGCCAGAGTTGTTGATGAAGTACCACCCAATATCCAGTTGATGAACGTAGTATGAAAACCCATTTTTCCCAATATCAACTTGACACCGTTCCATTCGATTCTATCGTAAGGCTTCACCATGTCTACTTTAATACCCATGAAATAATTCTTGCCCGATCTGTATCTGCTTAGGAAATGAAAGGCTTCATGAGCGAGTATCACATTATCCAACAATTGCCTATCTGGGATAAAAGCAGCGTGTGCTTCACTGATACAAGAATGTGGACACCTTTTCAGCATCTTTGAAATAGTTTTATAAGAAGTCCCACAAAGACTGATAGGGCGAAACTAATTCAATTATAAGGATTTCCACACTTGGGAACCAAAGTAACCAAAGTATGGTAGAATTATCTCAACATTTTTCCAGAGTGGAAGAGTCTTTGGATGACTGAGAATAAGTACTTCTTGATTGTCGACCAGAATATTTGGTTTAAAGTAGTCGTCATTCCGTCCTCTCCAGGGGTTTTATCTTGATTAAAAATGAATAAGGCCAATTTAATTTCTTCCTCCTCAACTGACACAATTAACGCTGTATTCATCTCCTCAGTAGTCGGAAATGGAATAGGTTGAAGAATATCAGTTTCTCCAGTGGACCCCTCAGAAGAATAGAGATTTGAAAAGAACTGATGGACTCAATTTTGTGGATATCTTCCTGCCTCTGGTGTATTCTTCCATCTTGGCCAACAATTCTAGATATGGCGTTAAACTTTCTTCTCTGAGCTGTGAAAGCGTGGAAAAACTTGTCCACCTTTTTTGAACCCTAACTTCCGCTATCTATGTAAGATAAACTACACACATATCTAAATAAATTAATAAAATGACGTTTTAAAAAATAGTTGAAAATCATGAAAAAAATATAATGCATTAATGTTGCAATACCAACAAAATGTTCAAGTTAACCATAAATAAATTTAAATCCTAGCTACGCCATTAATTTGGACGGCTCCTGACTTGGGTCGGGCCATGGACTTGGCACGAGCCTAAGTCTGTGCTGGTTCTAGGTCCATGATTTCAAACCCGTGGGCCTGCCGGGTCAGGGCGGGCCCGTGTTTTGACGCCTCTATATTGTGCACCACATGGGCCGCAGTAACATGATACCGCCTTGCAAGCACGTGCCAATGCAAAATGTTCGTCAGTTCGTGTGGTAAACCTTTGTTGCTCGAGTGGTCCCCGCCACCTGAAATGAAAAATGCCCGCCACGTCATCGTCAGTCTTTTCAAAAGGCAAGTTTCAAAATTTCAACGGTCGCATCCACTGTCTGTCCCACCCCATTTTGATCTCGGCCGTCACCATTTCCCCATTTTTCAACTCAGAGAGAGAGAGAGAGACACAGAGAGAGAGAGAGAGAGAGAGAGAGAGAGAGAGAGAGAGAGAGAGAGAGAGTGAGAGAGAGAGAGAGAGCGAGAGAGAGAGACAGAGTGAGAGTGAGAGAGAGAGAGAGAGAGCGAGAGAGAGAGAGAGGAATGCTGAATTGGGAGCTTGAATTGTTTCTATTGATCTGCTTCAATATTTGTCACTTTTCCTACTCTGATCTGATGCGCAAAGGTTGGCCCTTTTCAGATTCCCATATAACTCATTTGTGTGTCAAATTTTTCTTTTATTTTTTTTATTTTTTTTTTCATTTTACTTCAAGAATTAAGCTTTTGGGGCGTATAAAGTATTTAAAGAGTAACAAACCAATTTTTTGTTCAAGAATTTTGTGGGTTTTTCTTTGAAGCATTGAAAAGGCTTCTTGGTGTCCAAATTCTGGTCCCAAGTTTGAGTTTTTTTATATGGATTTTGTTTATTTTTTCTTGAATGGTTTTGTTTTTTGCTTGCAGAACAGCCAAAAAGTTGTTGAGTGCCATTGATGGTGGAACAAATACTAATCAATGTGAGGTGTACTCTTTTTTTGTTACTTTTATGTGTTCTTATGTATTCTCTTCAAAGCAAAGTCTTTTCTTTATCTTAATCCACTATATATGTTGTGTGTATGTAAGTCAACTAATCAGAGTACTCTTGTCAAGTAATCAGAGAAATTAGACTTTAAAGATATACAACTCTGATTATTGGCTGAATTAGACCATAATTGAAGTACTCTTGCCAAGTAAAAGCTGATGCAATCAAGAAATTATACTTTCGACCGTAGTTCGTGCAGTTTTGCTATGGAGTCATTGGATGACACGATTTATGGAGCCAAGCACACTTATTCACAAGTTGGTGTATTGACACGTGTCCTGCAATAAATGCACTTTAGACATGTGTCAACGCATTAAGAGATGGATGCATCCGATGGCTCCATAGAATTTTCAATAGTTCGTGTATGCAAGGATTCTTTCCTATCACCATTAATTATAAAGTGCACCATCACTTTTCATTGATGGCAAAGTTGTATCTTTATATTTGCATCAGCTTTTACTCCAAATCTTCATCATTGTATATTGCTTTCTTTAAAACTTATGGCTTTTGTATTTGCTGTTAATACATTGAATTGAGATTGAGTGGTGTGTGCCTATTCAATGGTTTTTGTTCTCCCTTACTTTTTTGTTGCATTTTCTAAATATGGAAGAATCTTGTAGCACTTTTCTCTCTTTGTATACCATGGACTGTTTTTCTTGGAATCTACCCTTTTTTTTTCGTAAAAGTTTCCAATTTAATAAGTCTCTCATTTCTCAATATTAGATCTTTGCGTCAATACTTCTCCATCAATTCACAGATGATTGTTTCACATCTGCTTGATATCAGTCATGGTAATCAAATTTTGATATCTTTTTTTTTTTGTTCCTAACTTGATTTTTTCAGTTTCGGTTTCCCTAGAAGCTTAACGTCTACTACAATCATGGCCGAAGACAACACACGAGATACTTCAGTTCAAATCCTGCCAAACAAAGAGTGGCTATCTCGGGCACAAGGGCTCGTCCCACGAGTTGTAGCCATAGCGAAAGAGGTAAAAGTGTTCCCTCAAAAGTGGAAGCTGATAATCTCAAGATTACAGCGCATCCCATCTTCTTTGTCGGACCTTTCCACCCACCCTTGCTTTTCCAAGAGTCTGCTCTGTAACGAGCAGCTCCAAACCATCACCCTCACGCTGCAAGAAACAATAGAGCTTGCAAAATCGTGTCTGGACGCAAAGTATGAAGGAAAGCTCAAAATGCAAAGCGACCTCGACTCTCTTATTGGCAAGCTCGATTTAAGCCTTCGTGATTGTGGGCTCTTGATCAAAACTGGCTTATTAGCCGAGGTTACTCGTTCATCAGAGGCCACAAATAACGAAAATGTTAGAGAGCTGTTTGCTCGTCTTCAAATTGGAGATATGGAGTCTAGGCAAAAAGCACTCGATAGTCTTGTGGATATAATAAAGGAAGACGAGAAGAAATTGTTTGAAATAATGGGACGAACCCACATAGTGGCTTTGATCCGTTTGCTCACCTCTACTACTTCATTGAAAATAAAAGAAAAGATTGTCACGGTTATTTTCTCGTTAGCCGAATCTGGAATTTTTGACAGTTGGCTCATCTCTGAAAGTGTTCTTTGTCCTCTCATAAAGCTCGTTGGCTCCGGTAGTTCATTTTGTAAAGAAAACATCTGTATTATTCTCAAGAGACTATCCGTGTCCTCCAAAGCATCTCGTTCGATAGTTGATAATGACGGAACCAAGCCTCTGATCGAGATCTGTGCCACTGGGGATTCCGTTTCACAAGCTGCGGCCGCTTGTACCTTGAGGAATATATCGGTTGTCCCGGAGCTAAGGCAAAAACTCGGAGCACAAGGGATTGTGAAGACAATGGTTTCCCTTCTGAACCATGGGATCTTGCCAGGTTCGAAAGAGTATGCAGCCGAATGCTTGAAAAATCTCACTTTAGACAACGACATTTTAAAGAAATCGGTCGTTACAGAAGGCGGGATCACGAGTTTGCTCAAGTACTTAGACAGGTCCTCGCCTAAAGAACCTGCGGTCGAGGCATTAGTAAATCTAACCGACTCGAATTTTACGGGTAAATTAATTTCCTTGGGCATTTTGACGAGATTAGCAAACGTGCTCAAGATGGGCTCGCCTAGCGCCCAACGGGCGGCTGCCTCCGCGATTTGTCGAGTTTGCACTTCGGACGAGACGAAAATGCTCGCAAACGAAAACGGGTGCATTGCTTTTCTCGCCAAAATGTTGGAGGCTAAGGATAACGAGACGAGGGAGGCAGGCGCACGCGCGCTCGCCAACTTGATGACAGTCTCGAGCAACTGTAAAGAGGTTTTTAAGAGGGGGGAGAAAAGCGTGGCGTGTTTGGTGGGGTTGCTCGATCCAAGTCCACATAATGGCGCGAAAAAATACGCGGTTGCTTGCCTCGTGATGATGTCGTCGAGCAAGAGGTGTAGGCGGGTGATGGTCTCGTATGGGGCTGTCGGTTATTTGAAGAAGCTGGTTGATATGGACGTTGATGGTGCAAAGAGGTTGCTTGAGAGGCTAGAAATGGGGAGATTTGAGAAGTTTGTTCACCAACTAAGCAGTAGTCGATAGAGGATAACATGTTCTTGCTGTTGTTGTACAATCAGGATTTTAGCACCTAATTTTTTATTGTTATTATTTAAGATTTGCGGACTCTGTGGATGGGATGGCCTTTTTTTGTATAAGGTTATGCTCTATCAGGTTTATATTTGAAGGTACAACCTAGCCTTAAAAATATTGTGCAAAGTTTCATCTGGAGATTTTATATTTGCCCAACAGGTATTTGCCAGAGAAAAAATTATACTATTCATGAGGTCTCGTGTGTGGTAATTTTTGAAAAGAAAAAGGTGAAAGTCAAAACTGTCCACTAAGGGGTAGGGCTGCAAACGAGTCGAGTCGAGCATTGACCTTATTGAGTAGGATTGATATTTTTTTTTCTTAGCTGCTCGAGCTCGACTCGATAAAAAAATTACAATAGCTCGAGCTCGACTCAAATAAAAATGCTCGAGTTCGATTCGATAATTTTTAAGTAGAAAAGTTAAATTACCATGTAGGACCTATGCTAACATATATATATGAGGTATTTTAATAATTTAAGATTTATCTCAAGTCGTTACACAACTCTTCGACTCCGTGCTCGAGGCGCTCGAGCTCGAATTCGTTCAAACTCGAGCTTGACGCGAGCGCTCGATTCGTTTGCAGCCCTAACAAGCCTTGAAAGTTTGAAGTATTGAAATTGTGAAACATTAATTAGACTTCCCAGTCGTCCTAAATAATAATTAATATTGTACCAAAAGAAAAAAAAAATGTATAATTAATATCACTGTCTAAATTAATAAATGCTAATACCTGTGCTACAGCGCCGAAGGGAAGTGTAATTGAAAGTTGAGATTAGGACATGAGGGTACTAGACTAGTAGTAGCTGCATGCTAATCCCACCGTTGGATCGAACTGATCGCGCCGCTGACGTTGGATGTCTATCCCAAAACAGTCGAACCACGTTTTTTTATGTATAATAATAATATAATTTTGCGGAAAATAATGAAATAAGAAGAAAAAGGAGAGGACCCAAACACGCCTTTTATTATCGCCTGAGTTTTTTTTTTTTTTTTTTTTTTTTTTTTTTTTTTTT